ATGTTTGGTGTTACGGCACTGACAGTAAAAGAAAGGGAACAAATAAAACACTATCTTTATTTACAGTAGTGTAACATGCAGTTTTTTAACCAATGACTAACTACTATTTGTTTTTTTCCCAGAATAATTTCAGCCTTCAAGTTACGACAGAATGCTAGTATGATCCCCACAATCACTACATTACCTACCTCGACAATTATTCCAAATAAACGTGCAAGGTTTAGAAGCCATAACTCGCATTCTCTTTACAAGTATTTATTTCCCCTTATATAAGCCTAACCATTATCAAGGAGACAGTATGTCTGTGGACTTACAACTCTAGAAACTGGGTTTTGATACCCATGGTGGGCAGAGTATAGATAGCGTGTTGTGTAGCTTTGTGCTTAAACTACAATCAATGAAGGCTACAGAATCAGGGCCTAATAGGTTCCAACTTCTATGAAATTCAAGTTCTAGTATGTAATTTTTGCCTAAGACAGAGGGTGTTAGCCCGGCATGACCAGGTGGTTAGGGCCCTCGACTTGCAATCTGAGGGTCGCGGGTTCGAATCCCTGTCCCACCAAACATGCTCGCCCTTTCAGCCGTGGGTGCGTTATAATGTGACAGTCAATCCCACTATTCGTTGGTAAAAGAATTGGCGGTTGGTGGTGATGACTAGCTGCCTTCCCTCTAGTCTTACACTGCTAAATTAGGGACGGCTAGCGCAGATAGCCCTCGTGTAGCTTTTCGTGAAATCCAAAACAAGACAAACAAACATATTTCTCGAACCTTCTGTATTTTTTATCTTGTTGCCTTAAGTAACTATTGTCACAGCATAGCATCTCGTAGTATGTAGAAAACTCTAGGCCTCAGTTTGGTAATGAGTGTGTGTGTAGGCGACCAAGTGAGCGCAAGTGAACTAAGAAAACGTGAAATTAGTGAAAGTGAAGTTAGACTGCGTGATTGTTAGTTTAGTCGTAACGGGCGATATTTTAAAGTGAATTTCACAGTTTAACAGAGATAATGGGAATAATTTGTCTTGTCAAAGGGTGTTCTAAAGTAATCGAACCTACCTGTGTGGACTTTGATGAAAAG